GATGTATTTTCCAACTATTTTTACAAACTTTTGGATGTTCTGAAACTTTTTAAGCTAAATTACCGTGTTTTGTGGGATAAAAACGGTTTTGTGACATAAATTGTGCTATATTAAACACATTTTCAAACAAATTGTTGTATTTTTTCGGCACTGGACATMACATTGAATGAACAAATGCGCGTGCAAGAGGAAGTGTTAAATCACTTCCGTTCTTTTATTTTGCTCACGTTATGTATTTTATTTATTTTTTATTAAGAGAGCCATATAATAAATAACTTATTAACCTCGTCCGTTCGGTCATTACAGGGAAATCTCAGACCTCGGTCTTGTTTGTATGGACCTCGCTATCGCTCGGTCCATACTTCCAAGACCTCGGTCTGAGATTTCCCTGTAATGACCTCACTCTTGGTTAATAAGTAGTATATATATGAAGCTTAAGCCTAATAGCGTAAGTTCGTTCGAGCTTGTTCACAATATCTTAAAGTACACAAACCAAAACAATACTTGCTCGTTTCTCCAAACTTGTCCAAGGGTAGTACTTTTCTCTTAGTGCCAATCATGGTTTGTTTAGAACAAGAGGGTAAAAGAAAATTTCTGCAGACGTTTATAAATGATCTTTACAACAGGCCGGTACTGTCTTGAATGTACGTTAGAATTTGCGCGCCAATGTAGAAATCGAGGTCCCGTATTTGCCAAATAAGGGATATCGTGACCATAGCGCGTGGTGTCGGTTAACTATTCTGTGTCTATTCCTTGCCGCATACCAGAGGAAACACGAGATAAAGAGTGGTCTGTTTATCGACCTTTATCGGATAGTTGCCGATCATTTTGTTACTTCAATATCTATACGAAAGGGAAGATGTCGTTTTACTGGCGGTGGTTTTATGTATAGCTCAAAGGAAAGGCGACCAAAAACGTGTAAAATCATTTGACAAACCAATAGTTCTAAATAGATTTCGTGACTCGTTTGAAGATGGCCGATGGAGCAGTAGATCACGCCAACGATAACAACAATAATCCTGGTTCTCTTGATTCTCTTAATGTTTCTTTGGTTTTAAAAAAGAAAACACGCTGATGGTGTAGCCATTTTTAAATCTTCCAAATACAGTATTTGGCCACTTAATGTTGTAATAAATGAGCTTCCACCCAATCTCAGGTAAGGTACATGTCTGACTTAATCAACAAACATAAAATTTGTGAAAATACCTACTAAATATAGAGATAACTAAACAATTGAATTAGGCATATTGGCATTATTAAAGTTATAGTTATGATTGCGCACCTTTATTGTTTGTGCTCTATCTACACTGTATAAGCATTTTAACTTAATTTGCAAGTGGAAAGTGGTGATTGCGCATGTTCCAAAAATATAGAGAAACAGTGTGAATATTTATAAGCTGTTTGTTGAATCAATCATGAATAATTTTTAAAACTTTATTCCAAGCTTTCCACTTAAGAGTGAATGTCCACTAACTTCGAGCAAATTTGAAAATAGGCGGCACATGATGAAAAATCAAAATGCTTCATATTTTGCACGTAGTTACTCTATCATATACCTATAATCGTGYTGGGGTTTGTTTTTTGAAATGTGTTTTTAAAGGCGAAAAAAATACGAAAAACTAACGGTACCCGGATTTCGTCAAAACACCCGAATTACAATGTCGCGAGTAGCATTCCATTACGTGTTGTTCCTTCCAATAATACTTGATATCCAATCAAAAAAAAACCTTATAAGTTGCTAGATTAGGTGTGTTTCGAAGTACTCAGAGCAATAAAATCACTTCGCTGTCGGATTAAGAATATTAATTGCGTGACTAAAGTTTTGCTTAATTTATGCAAGAAAAATGTTACTTTTTATGCATATATTAAAAGTTAAAGTTTTCTATCCGGTACTTCTCCAAATCRTTTGAAACTAGCACGTTTGAATAACCAAAGAAAGACCTTTAAGTGGATTWAAAAAWTTTCTTGGGGTATTTTATTGTTGCGAAGTTATTTGGGTCTAAATATATTGGTGAAATGCTAAAATTCGCTTCAAAACAAATTCAAGAAATGTTTATCAAATGTTTATAATCACCAATAGCACACTTAACGACGTTATTTATAGTTTGAACATTTTATGCTATTGCAAAAAGACAATTATTAGGTTTGTTTTATCATTTGGATTGTTTATGTTGCTTTTTTTTAATAATTTGCATTAATTAAAATGTGTACAGTATACTCCCAGGTCAATATATTCAGTGTTAAGAGAAGCAAACATGTAATTGAGATAAATTTGATGATTAGTTTCGAAATTAATGCTTTTCGTGTTTGTATGCATGTGATGGTGCATAATGATGTTTTTCATCCCCAACCAAACCCACCTGCCATACCTCTGTTCTTTAAAACTGGCATTCACATTCCTGGCAGAGTAACATAAGCTTAGCTATATATGGTTTCTTTAGTCGCTTGGTTTTCATATCTGTGGTGGTTATTCCAAAGTGCGTACACATCTTAGATAACAGAGAAATACAGAATTTGTCGAATTTGTTCTTAGTAGCAATTTCGCAAAGATTATGTGTMTCGAAGACTATGGGATGTTTKTGTCTTAGGCCATTCTCAGTATCTTTGAACAGTTCCTCTAGTTCAGTTTCCTGTGCAGCATTTTCTACGTCTTCGATTTCATCTKARTCTTTTAGTGACTTCTTTGAAGCGAGACGTGAAAAAAAGCCAGCTATTTGCTTTGRCYTGAGAAAATCATCYCTTTTGAATAGCAACTCTCCGTCAGATCCTGTGGCACTCATCATCGATCTYGATACTCCTGCAGGATCCAACTTAATCCCCYTCAGCTCACCAATCTTGAATTTAGCAGATAGATAATTCTTTTGCATTTCAGTAAATCTTGATCGTCCTGTATTTCTTGATTTCAACGCCCATCCCATTGGTTGTCTACTAACAGTTGTTGTTGGTAACTGAGAAGAGCCGTCACTAACTTGTGGTACTAATGTGCCTTGGCCTTCCAGGTGTTRGCAYTATTCTTGTGKAGCTATGTCATAAATGGTCTCTCGRTCTAATTTAAGTTGATGTTTTCCACAATCTAAGTGTRGCATCATTGAATGGTGGTTCATGAATGTTCTTATACATCCTTCTTCTGGGCACGAAAACAGAAGCTCATTTAACAATTCGAGGTTGTCATCTTCTTGCTTGTAGCTTCCTCTTATTTCTTTCGATTTTGGTCGTGAGCGTCYACTTGGCTTGCTAATTGGCGCAAATTTACTTGGGTGAGATTGAAGCACTTGTGCAGTAGGTATATTCTCTYAAGAACAGACCCGTGATGTTTTCTGTCCCTCACCAACATCGTATGCTCTCCAGACATAAATTTCATTTTCCTCGAACTTTACGTTGTAAAGTAGACTTACACCATCAAGCTTGAGAGGAGGCATTGATGGAATTTCAACTCCATTACACAAGGTAACACTGAGTGAAGGTATTCCACCATTTGAAATCATTGCCTCACACATCMGTTCTGCAGTCTCTATATCATGGCCAGAATTCAAGTYTAATAGCATGTGTGCTTTAATCGATGCAGCCTTCCTGTCGCAGGCGCCTTTCCCYRCCTGAGGATCTGAAAAATCTAATCTCTTAACTTTCACGTCTACGTCTTTACCAACTTGCGATGCGCAGAATATGGTTTGGCCGCTATGATAGRAYCCAGCYTTGTCTTGTCTGTAGTTTATAACTTCCAATTCTGGCATAGCATCTTTTAGTTGTTTCACTACGTCTGACATTATAGCAATAACTGCGTTGTTGTCTTGGGTGCATGCTTTGAAGACATGAACAAATGTCTCAAGCTCCTCGCCGTTCTTACGGAAAGCAACACTTATATGCCATGGGATACCACGTTTTCCGAACCAGTCGGACTGGCTTTCCCTGTACTTTCTCGGTAGATATTTCATTGCCCAGTCTTGAACMACTAGTGTTGATTTCTTGTCAAGGGTTTRGAGSACATCCACTCTAGCTGTGTCCWGATGAATGCATCTTAGAATATGTGATTTCCAGGAAGTGATATTTATTCTTGCCTGTTTTACTGTAAACTTTAGTTTTTCAGATACACTCTGTACAAAATTTCCATTGAGTTCAACTAGTGCTGCTTCGATATCATCGAGGCTCAATATCAGTTGGTCGCACCTGTCGCACGAGTCGGAATGATCATGATTACATTTGTCTTGAAATACTGAATCTTTTGGATCGCTTAAAGCAAACACCTGGCAATGGTCCGCTACAGTAGAACTTTTAGAGATGTGAACCTGTAAGTTATGGGAAATATTTTCACAGTTAGCTGCATATTTTGATAGAAACAATTTTATATAGAATATCTTATCATTGTAAGGCTCTTTGACCCTTGGGAAAGCACTGTATATATATATGTTATTATTAACATAATCATTATCATAGTCTCGGGCAGAATAAACATCGAAAATACCACCACAGTGAATGTCCAAAGTGAATCTTATTAGCTTTTCTTACCTTGTAGTCCGTCTTAAGGTAGCGTTTTGCACATTGGAGCCNGGATAAAGATGGGATGCAAGACAAGAAGACACATTGGTCAGATTTTTAGTACATGTTTTGTCAAGACTAATTTATTTTTTCTAACAAAAAACTTCCATTGCACTACATTAAATGATTATTAAATATTTTCTCTTCAGCTTTGTTGATGCAAAGCAGTGATATATATAAATACATGACGAGCTTCAAGCGATTTTTATGTTTGGCACCCTACCGATGTTCTACGATTGAATCGCAGAACATCAGCAGGGAGGCAAAGCATTCACAAGGGTCTTACCGCAAAGGGGCGACAAAACTTCTGTCATCAAATATCCATTTTAATCTGGTTATATCTCGGTGCGTGAACAAATTCGGAAATGCAAAAGTTATAAAAATAACTCATTACTGAATTAACAATTTTTAAAATATTGACATTATTATATAACATATTACAAATTTCAAAGAGTTATACTGTAACACTCGTAAACGTCAGTTTATATTGTATTTTTAAAACATTTCGTGTTACATATACTATAAATATAAAGCATACATTACATACAATACATTGTGTTTAATTGTAAAACGGCATGATCGCTTTTAAACATAAGTACCTATTTACACTCATCTATTCCTCGGAACTTCTATCAAAGTAAGACTGCAAGCGGAATTGAAAAAAATCACAGTTCAATATAAATTGTTTCTCGTTTCAATAAGTCCTTYCCACTGTAATCATTTTAGTGAAACCCCTGATAGCCTGGCAGCAACAGCTTGTGCAGTTTTTGGACGAAGACTTGGCTTGTCACTGACACAAGACAAGTACAACTCCTTAATACTAGAGTAGGAGGAGTGACGATGCATTACCWTCTTTGCAACGAATCTTACTATTCTCCCAAGGGAGAAGATGTCGCTCGATGTGGAAGGGCAAACACCACCAGAGAGTACCTCTGGAGCGATCCAATGGTAGTATTTTGGATCTCTCTTCTTGCCAGGTCGTGCTGCACTTATCTTGACGCTCTTCCCAAAGTCAATTATAACAGGGCTCCATTTCCCGTTTGCATGATGTAGGACCACGTTATTTTCCTTTAAATCATTGTGGAGATATCCACGATTGTGAATTAMTCCGAGTGTCTTCGCTAGGTCTGTCAAAACTCGTAGCCACTCCACAAACATGTTATCTTTAATAAGATTAGCGTCTACAGCATTTGATATCGTATAGGCTRGAGTCCCACCACTTTCACCATGAAATTGAGTAACAAGCATGTAGGGCTTTGATTTCACAGAGACACCTATTAGTAAGGGCAAACAAGGATGATGCTCGATTGCCTGAAGTTCTTGAATGACTCTTGCCTCTTGAATCACTTCATCCGTTGAATGTTTTTTAAATTTCTTTATAACAACGGGTATGTTACCACGATAGGTACCCCGATAACAGTTACCGAAGCTGCCACTTCCAARGTGGTCTTCATCATTGCTATAGCTTAGCTGCTCTCGGTGAACCCTCGGAATTAATCTGGCCTTAGGCGCGGTACTTTCGCCAACGCTCTGTTTAGCTAAAGTTACCATTCGACTGCCACGACAAAAACCAGCGGGACCTGCGACGGCATYACCAGAAATCGGTATTTCATCATTTGTGCTGGTTCGCTCCTGACGCTTAGTCAACTCTTTCAGATGCTTTTTAACTTCCTTTTGACGCGCTCTATAGCGTCGCTTTTCTTCTTTTCTCTCTTCTGCTGTGTGTTTTCTAAACACTTTTCTTAGCTTACCAGCTGAGCTCATTATTTATATAAACCGTGATCGAAATTACTGGATGGAATTACTGGGACTGATGTTGATGTTGACACGAGCTTTTAAATCAAAAGTTTACAAATAAAG